TAAAATGATTATTAAATTCAAATGAAATATTATAATATGTTAAATGGTTTCCAGGAGTCTCTGGAAACTCCATACATAAGGTGGTCACATTATATTGATGTATATGAAAATGATATCAAAAGAAATTCGAATTCCCCAACAAAAGTTTGCCCCAAAATTACGCTAAGACATTTACATGTTGATGGTTTTAGTAAGATGAATGTTAAATTAGCCACTCAGGTAAAATTTGAAAAAACAATTATAAAAAACAAGTATATTACACATTTATTAATTAATTTCAGATTTTTAGTGATTCCATGGCCAAAGGTCTTGAATTTTATAGAGATTATGTAAAAGTAGAATCATTAAAAAATAGCTTTCAAACACAACTTTTTAGGGATCGATTTAATAAGCTATTTGATGTATTCAACCGAAAGTACCCCGCAGAAGGAATAAAAAAGAAAAGTCCTGATTTCCAGGTAGTTATATAAATTATAAATAACAATTTGAATATAATAGTATAATAATTATTAAAAATTAATTTCTTTCAGATTTTAAAAGATAATCTTAATTGGATTAATTGTTGGGAAGATCAAGTTGAAAATAAATATATTACTAAAGATGAGTACTTGACTCAAAATACAGCCGATGGGTTGCGTGTAACTATGAAATCCACATTAGAATTAACAGAGTACCTTTTAGAGAAATGCGGATTCAAATTTGTATTAACATCCAAAATGAACCAGGATAAATTAGAGGTACCTATATGTTAGACGTTGGAGATTGATTAACAATATATTATAAAATATTATAAAATAGATGAAAAATAGAAAAATTATAAACTGTTTTTTTTTTTACATCTCTGATTGTTTATTTCAAGTATAAAATATTATTTTTTATAGCAATTTTTTGGAATGTCAAGGCAAGCTACTGGCCCAAATGAACATCCAAGTACACCAACATTTCTACAGGTGTATAAAATGTTGTCCATGTACTCATTGTTAAAACCACCAAAATCTGGCAATTGTAAGATTTTAGAACCTACTGTTCATACAATTACAATTACTGATTTGAACCTAGTTGATAATAAAGAACAAGTTTCACAAAGAGCTGAAAAAATTGAAATTTTGAGAAAAAAACTTGACACCTTAATTATGACTAATGTGGAAGTAGATGATATTATTTTTGAACATAATATTCATAATTATAACAAAGCAGAGGCAGAGGACTGTGTTTTATATTATATTTGTGGGTATATAACTAAGAACCTCATAAAAACTGTAAAATGTGATACTTGTCTCACAGTATTAATTGGTATGTTTAGTATATTAGTAAATAAACCTACTTCCATGTTAAAATAAACTATAGTAACCAATAGTTTATTATCCCTATTCCCTATCAATTATCATGCCTATTACCTAAATTTCAGTTCTGTTTTGTAATTTATGTTTAGGTACTAAGTCATACTGCAGCAGGCCAGAAGCGGCTCTTCTTAACATAAAATCAAAAGGAGGTTTGACTTACCCAAATGATTTTATTTTTGGATTGCTGAGTACTGTTGAAAAATCATTTGCTAAGCACTGCGATAACAATAACGTTTTCTTAATGACTATTGATGAATTCTTTGAAACTAATAAGTTCATAAATTTTCCATGTATTGAACACAAACAAGATGTACTAACTCATATTATATCCAACTTTATTATTATGAGGATGAGGCAGTACGCTTTACATACAAATAAAAACCAAAGTAAAGAAAATGCAAAAAAAAAAAAGTTTGCAAAATTAGTTCACACATAGGTAACAGTTATATCTTTGTTTCAAAATATATATTTTTTAATGTAAAATGCCTTGCTATGTTGAAAAGAAATAAAGAATAATATTATGTTATAATAATTATAATAAAAATTGTTTTAGTATTCATTTTATTTTAGTTCAATGCTAAATCCACTTAATAGTTAATAGATGGCGCTGGGTGTCCGTGATGTACCAAATGAAAACATTTGGGTTCCACTAATAATACTCCGTTTCCAGTCCTGTATATCTTAGTCCGTGGCGGTGTGTAATCTTTTATCTATGGACCAGCGCTAACCGATAGTAAACTGTTTACTGATATCGTTTTCGCGATTACGGCCACTGTAACTAGGTAACTAATTTCGTGAACGAGCTTAGTGAATACATACCGTCGATTTCGACTTGGTAAGAAGGTTTACTGAGGATCGGTTACTAAAAAGTTTATGATATCAAATGTTATCAAATATTTCAGTAAACAAAATGTTCAAGCAATTGTTTTGGCGTTCGAGTAAACTTATTCTATAACCATAAACTTATTTACTAAACAGTTTACTCCGCCAAAACACGCCTATTGTCTACCACAGTAAAGTTCCACGGCAATGAGAACCTCTGAGCAACGAGTAAAATATAATATTAAAGTTTGATTCGTAAATTTGTTTGTGGTGTTCCGTTAAGTTTTTTTATGTTTATTGGAAATAACTATTTGAGTTACTTTATTTAATAAGTCATAAAATCACGTAAAATCGTAAAAAAAAATGTTTTCAATGTTTGAAAAGTATAAATGCAACAAACAAAAAACCAATTGTGAAGCTAATACAGAAATATTTGCCACTGCCAGTAAGTAAAAATCTAGTCTTTAAACTAAAATTAAAGTTCCACTGTTGCAATCATATTGAAAAATTGTTTTAAACTTTTAACATTATTTTCATGTTTATATTCAATGATCAATGTTATATTATAATATAGGTACTTCCGGTATTGGCAGTATTACTTCTGAATCTGAAGATATCGGTATTATGGCCGATATGCAAGAAGTAATGAATAAAGATGACAGTACATTTATCGAACCTATTAGTGTGGATCCAAATGAATCAGTTACAAGTGATTTATCCGATTTAGGAGATATTAACACGGGACCTGCCAGCCCTATATTACAAGTCAGTTTTCAATTCCTACTAAAAAAATGTATTACTAAACAAATTCAAAATGTTTAACAAGGTTTAACAAAATGTTTTTTTAGGTATATCCCAAAACCAAATTTGGTATTCAAAACAGGTCATTTTCAAGCAAACTGTATTCTTATTATGATTGGCTTGAATATATAGTGTGACGAAAGATTTGGTATTTTGTTATTTTTGTCGAATATTTGGCTTAGGAAATTATAATGAAGACACTGACACTTTCACTACTAAGGGGTTTCAAAATTGGAGAAAAGTAAGTTACCTACTATTTTAACCAGTTAACTACAATATAGATACATTCATAGTTTAAAAATGCCTAGTAGTTATTATTACTTGTATTCTATTTTAATAATATTTTTATATGCAATTCGGCATTCTAATCAATACTATATTATTGTGTAAATAATAATTTTACATTGCTTTTTATGGACAATTAGATTAGAGAGAAGTGTAACTCACATTCTTTTTCAAAACAACACTTAATTAACAAGACAAAGTATACTGCTTATTTGTCAAGTAAATCAAATGGTAGTGTAGTCTCTAAGCTATCAGAAGGACATCAAAAAGAAGTAAATGAAAATCGAGAATACTTAACAAAACTAATTGAAATTTTGTTATATTTGAGCCGCCAAGGAATCCCACTTCGGGGCCACTTTGAAGATAAAAACTCTCTGAACCAAGGTACCTACCAAGTGCTTAAAATAAACAAATATTTTTTTGAAAAATTCATAACAAATATAACATTTTTACAGGAATGCCAAAGAGGCAAAAATTTGATCAACAATTTGAAAAAAAATTTAACTGTACAACTAATTATTCCAGTTGGTCAATTCAAAACCAAATTTTAAGTATTTGTGCTCAAATGGTTAGAGACAAAATAATTTTAGAAGTACAGACAAATGGATTTTTCGCTTTAATGTGTGATGAAGCTAGATAATTAGTTAAAATAAGCAAAAATTAAAAATAAATTTCCTACAGCAATTTATACACATTGCATGGCACATAGGTTAAACTTAGTTGTTGTAGACATGTGTAAAAATATCAAAGTAGGTACCTATTTAATTTTATCGTGTCATTAAAAAGCTATGATTTTTAAAATTAACAATTATTATTTTATAAATTTAATTAGGACGCAAGAAATTTATTTAACGTATTAGAATCTATATACGTTCATTTTTCATTTCCTTCAAAGAATCAGAAGTTGCAAGAAGTTCAAAAAGAGTTAGGCATGAAAAATAAAACTATGATCCATATGTCAGATACACGTTGGGTATGTAGATATAAAAACTGCGTTGCAGTCATTACAAATTTTGCTGCTATTTTACAAATATTACATGGAGAGATTGAAGAAAACTCGGATAGAAATGTTAGCCAAGCTATTGGTAATTAATAATATAAGTGGCTCTATCTCATTAATTTAATTAGTAATAACCAAACAATTGTATGATATTAAATATTTATTCTGATCATCTAATTCTAATTTACCTATTTTTAAATTTCAGGTATTTATTCTTCTATAACCAAAGGGTCTTTTGTAGTTAATTTATTTATTTTTCATGAAGTATTGTGCAATGTTAATATACTCAGTAATAAGTTACAACAAAAGACTGCAACATTGGGGAAAGCTGTTGGTATTATTAAAGCCGTTATAGATACTTTTGAAAAAAAACGATGTGATAGTGAATTTTCTGTTTTATGGACTAATATAAAAGGATTTGCAGATAAACATGATATTTCATTGGAAGTGCCTTCAAGAAGTTGTAAGTTATCAATATAAGTCTAAGTGTAATTAATATATGAATCATTATTAAAACTAAATTTAATGATATTTCATGCTTGTTTTGTTATGACTAATTCTAGATTCCAAGCGAAATAGAAGAGAACCAAACTACTTAGCAGATTTTAATGTTACTACAACAACTGCTGCTGAAGTTGAGAATGTAGAAAATTCAGTTGAATGTTATTGGAGAAATCACATATATTTTGTAATACTGGTATCCAGTTCTTAACAATTTAAAAACACGCTTTTCAGAAGAAAGTATGAAAATGGCTTCTGCTGTTGATAATTTTTTCTCACTAGATTTTGAAGAAAGTCAATATTTTATTAACCACTATAAAGTAACTATAAAATTATTAAATATTCACATGAGTCATAATCATATTTGATCATATATTAATGTTACCTATTGCATGTGTGTGTGTGATTTCAGGATTTATTAAATATTGAGATTAAATCATTAATGGCTGAAATGATTGTAGCTCAAAACTCTTTGAAAACATTAAACCAAAAATTTGATATTCAAGATTTAAAGAAATCAGTTGAAAAACATGTTTATCCAAATTTATACAAATTATTACAAGTACTTAATACTGTTAAATATTATTTTATATTTTTGTTCCATTACGATAATGTAGACAATTCAATAATTTTTAATGTATTATAGGTTGCTTTGACACTTCCAATCAGTTCAGCTACTTGTGAACGATCATTTTCGGCCCTAAGAAAAATAAAAACTTGGCTGAGGGTATCAATGGGTCAAGAGAGATTGACAGATTTGTCTATATTGTATATAGAAAAGGACTTAACAAATAAAATTGATATAAAAGAAGTGATATGTATTTTTGCTCAAACTGAAAGAAGAATAATGTTAGAGTGAACTAACTTTAAGCAAAAATATCAATTAATTTATATCAATACTGACCATACTCAATTTTATAAAAATAAATGTTCTTGTATAATGTAATAGTTATTGCGCTTATCAATTAATTTTTAAATAAATAATAATATATTTATCTTGCACTTACATATTCTTAGGCTTTACTTAGTTAATATTAAATTTGTAATTATTGAATGGGTATTGTACGGGCTACAGCCGTTGCAGGTATCCATTACCATAAGATAACATCAAAAAATAGAGGGGCTTCAGCACCCCCAGTTTTTTCATTGAAATTGCGCCCCTGCAGTCCCAGGCATCTATTATATCCTCCTTTTCAAAATGTTCACTACAAACTTTAGACTTTGCACTCAGGGAAATACCTCTCTCCCTCTCCCAGACAATAATAGAACTTTTTGGGACACCAAATCTTGATTTTGCCAATGACTGGCAATTTGGTACGCAACATTTAGCAGACATACTAATATTAATTAGTTAACTACCTTTTTTTTAAGAAGTATTAATAATATAGTAATACTAATATCTATTAGTCTAGACACTGAAAAAGAACTCAAAAACACAAATTGCATACCTCTTATAGCTTAATTCGTATCAAAAACCAAATTAAATTAATAACAAGAAAAAAGTAAAAAATAAATACCGCCAAAATGCCAATATTTATAAATATTTATAAATTTGGATTAGTTCAAAACTTTGCCGCTGATTAGTATTAGCGCTCTGTGTCAATACGATGAACAAGAATCGTCAGAAATAATAATTTGTTGGTAACAGGCTCTCGTTGTGTATCCTGAATATTTTAATTCGTGGTAGCATGCACCCACTTGCCCACCTTTTTTAATTTTTTTTTTTTGGGGTCTGTGCACTACAGTGGCGTACACAGCTATTTTCAATGGGGGGGGGCTTACATATAAAAAATTTTATACATATATAATATATATTATACATTGATAAATCAAAACGATGTACCTATAGTAATTATTTTGTACATAATGAGTAATCAGCTCATTAGTAATGACTTAAGGTGAAATTAAAAATATTTTTACAATACTCGATTATTATTTAAAAAATATATACCTATTATCTACCGGTAATTATTTAGTCAGTAGCGCAGAGTCGTCCAGTCGCGCAGAGTCGTCCGCCAAGGAAAGACGTGTTCCGTCGAGTTCGCTCCCGAGCAGGTTCCTAGTCCGGTCGACCAGCTACACCCCAGCGTCACCAGCGCCTGCCACCCACAGTTAAAGTCGCCAAGAGGACTCCGCTGGCGCGCACCACTTCCAAGGAAGCAAGTGCGGCCCCCCACCGGGCCTGCGCGCCAAGCCAGAGGACCCTCTACGCTCCCCACGGTTTTTCGGCCGTATCTCCGTCAGGGTTGCTCCTAGAGCTTCGGGACGAAAATTTTGCCCCCTTGACGATATTCTAGCAGCTTTCGGAGATTTCGACAAGACCCAGCGAACCAGGACCCCCTATCCCCCCCGGAGGAGGAGTTCGGGCCCCCGATAGGGACAGTGAGCTCCGCACCGCCACCCCGATAGGGACAGTGCGGTCAGATAGGGACAGTGCCTGCAAGTGTACCCCAACAAGGACAGCGCGGACAGGGACAGCCCTCGGCGACGCCACGCCTCAACCAGTCTCCAAACCGACCGCTCTCCGAGCAATGTAATTTGGTGAAGTTAAAATATTGCGATGCTTGTTATAAGCTTGAATCTGCGTAAAAAAAAATATAAAGATGATTCATAGGGCCAATATAGGTTATCAACGTTCAAGTCTATACAAAATATTTAACTAGAGTTAAATAACTAAAAAAAAAAAATTGAAGGGGGGTGTTGGCGCCCGCAGGCAAATGCGTTTTAGAAACAAAAAAAAAAAATTAGAAATTAAACAATAGGCCTACACATTAAAGAGTCAAATTATAAAATGTCCAGAAGCTTAAACAGGAAAAAACTATTCAAAATGAAAAGTTCATTAAAGAAAGATGATTCATAGGGCCAATACATTATATCAACGTTCAAGTCTAAACCAAATATTTAACTAGAGTTAAATAACTAAAAAAAAAAAATTGAAGGGGGGTGTTGGCGCCCGCAGGCAATTGCGTTTTAGAAAAAAAAAAAAAAAATTAGAAATTAAACAATAGGTTAACACATGAAAGAGTTCAAACTAAAATGTCCAGAAACTTAACAGAAAAACTATTCAAAATGATAAGATCATCAAAGAAAGATAATTCATAGGGCCAATGCTGGTTATCAACGTTCAGGTCTAAACAAAATATTTAACTAGAGTTAAATAACTAAAAAAAAAAATTGAAGGGGGGTGTTGGCGCCCGAAGGCAAATGCGTTTTAGAATACAAAAAAAAAATTAGAAGAAATTAAACAATAGGACCACTCATTAAAGTGTTCAAACTAAAATATCCAGATTCTTAAATAGATAACACTATTTAAAATAATTAGTGCAGATTATCAACGTTCAAGTCTAAACAAAATATTATTTAACTAGAGTTAAATAACTAAAAAAAAAAAATTGAAGGGGGGTGTTGGCGCCCGAAGGCAAAAGCGTTTTAGAAAACAAAAAAAAAATTAGAAGAAATTAAACAATAGGACCACTCATTAAAGTGTTCAAACTAAAATATCCAGATTCTTAAATAGATAACACTATTTAAAATAATTAGTGCAGATTATCAACGATCAAGTCTAAACAAAATATTATTTAACTAGAGTTAAATAACTAAAAAAAAAAAATTGAAGGGGGGTGTCCAGAATCTTAAACAGATAACACAAAAAAAAAAAAAATTTGAAATTAAACAATAGGACCACACATGAAAGTGTTCAAACTAAATTATCCAGATTCTTAAATAGATAACACTATTTAAAATAATTAGTGCAGATTATCAACGATCAAGTCTAAACAAAATATTATTTAACTAGAGTTAAATAACTAAAAAAAAAAATTGAAGGGGGGTGTTGGCGCCCGCAGGCAAATACGTTTTAGATTTTTAGAAAACAAAAAAAAAAAATTAGATGAAATTAAACAATAGGACCACACATTAAAGAGTTCAAACTAAAATGTCCAGAAACTTAATAGAAAAAACTATTCAAAATGATAAGATCATTAAAGAAAGATGATTCGTAGGGCAAATGCAGATTATCAACGTTCAAGTCTAAACAAAATATTATTTAACTAGAGTTAAATTTCTAAAAAAAAAAAATTGAAGGGGGGTGTTGGCGCCCGCAGGCAAATACGTTTTAGAAAACAAAAAAAAAAAAAATAGAAATTAAACAATAGGACAACACATTAAAGAATTCAAACGAAAATGTCCAAATTCCAAATCAGATAACACAAAACAAAAAAAAAAATTAGAAGAAATTAAACAATAGGACCACACATGAAAGAGTTCAAACTAAACAATCCAGAAACTTAACAGAAAAAACTATTCAAAACGATAAAATCATTAAAGAAAGATGATTCATAGGGCCAATGCAGGTTATAAATGTTCATGTCTATAAAAATATGTCTACTATACTTAAATTCTTAAATGAAAAATTGAAGCGGAGAGTTGGCGCCTGCATTCAAATGCGTTTTAGAAAAAAAAAAAATTAGAAATTAAACAATAGGCCCACAAAAAGTCGAAAAGGTCGTTTGTAATATAAGAAATGTAAATTATATAGTAGGCTAAATATTAATTTTTATTTTACGAATTTACGATGTCAATTTTACTGTCGGAATATCTAAATTTGTAGAGAGAACGCTGTTTATGGACCTTGTTTTTGTTATACCTAGTACCTACGTACTAATCACGATTAAAGATATCTAATTGAACTTTTTATAATATTATCATTATTCACAAAATTTATTGACATGTTATAGCCGCCGGGGCACCGAACTGCCAGAATTATACGATATTGCCACCTACCATTATATTGCAGTACTGACTACTGAGACTATGTAGCTTGTTATTCGAATATAATATCTATTATATTCCTATCTATTTGTATCTATACTATTTATTCATACAAGAAATAACGAATGTTTTGAACTTGGTCAATTTTTAGGATAATGTTAGTGTTATATAATATTTAAAATTTTAGACATAGTACCTATACCTATTTCCTTAGTCGTTTATCTTTACAATAATTCATAGGTATAGGTATAGAATATACCATATAAGATACATGAGTTTGAAATTAATAATGAAACGTAGACATATTGTGTATGTAATAATGTATTAATTTGTATAAATTGTATGTGGTTCATGTGTTTAAATATATTGTAAAATACAATAGGTACCTGTCTAAGTGTAGCATGAGTAGATAAGCATATAGTTTTTTTTGTAAGTATATTGTATAATGTTTGTTAGAGCGTAGCGATAAATATTTTTTTTTTGGTTATTTAGTTGTAAAAAAAAGGCGTACCTATACTGAATTAGGGGTGTCATATTTATGTTTGCTCCCCCATAAATTGTCCCTTGATACAGCCCTGTGATACTAACTCGTGTAAACAATTTGAAGCACATATAAGCGATCAACGAGTCTCTGACATTTTTATTGATACATACCAATTCGCATAGATAAATATGAGACATTTCTGTTCTCACATCTATCACAGTCAGAGACTTGTCATCAATAAGTGCTCAAAATTATCGGGATGTGGACCCATTCATAGTATATGATTCAAAGTTGACACAATAAGACTGTGATCACAACTTGGAAGTATGATTGGATGTAGATTGTAAAAGTAATAAGTAGCTATTAATGATTTAATACATATTTAATTAATGATTTATCAGCATGTATTCTCCCGTCTTGCAAGTAGGTATCAATTTCAGCAGATCTTAATTAAATTTAAAAAAAATGTAATCTTTAATCTTTGTTAGTTTAAAATATTAGAGTGATTAATATTTTTTAAAACTATTGAAGCCTATAATGATAACTACTGAACGGGCTACTGAATGAAAAAGTGATATCTTTCACACTTGTTAGACACACTTGTAGGCAACTTACATGTTATGGAACTAGAACACATCATACAAATTTCTAGTTCCATAAGTATCCACTAAGAGGGCGCTAGTAATGCTAAAAGGAAAATATCCCCCCGAACTCCGCCTGTTGTAAAACATTTCGTAACCACAATATTCATCTCGTGTCCAGTCCTGTATATCTTAGTCCGTGTAGATAACAATATTATTTAAATGCAGTTGGTGAGAAATCTAATCTATTATCTAAATTATTACTATGAATGTATAAATCTTTTTCATTATATATTGTTTACAATGTTTGTATATATCTATTACTTATTACCTTATATCTAATATACCTACTTAAACAATTAAAACACAATGTATAATATAATTATTAATATTTCGTTGATTTCAACTATTAAACCATACCTACTAATTTTATTTTTCAGACTTTCAGGAATAAGTAGGTACCTACTTAGTGGTATATTAATATTATGTGTTAAGGCGGGTTCACACTACACCGTGTCGTGTAATATAATCACGGTTACCTAAGTTACCAAACGATACCTACCGCATAGTTGAATATATTCAACTTTTGACCGTGTGGTTACATTAAGTATGAACCCGACTTTATCTGCACATAAATGTAACCACACGGTCAAAAGTTGAATATATTCAACTATGCGGTATCGTTTGGTAACTTAGGTAACCGTGATTATATTACACGACACGGTGTAGTGTGAACCCGCCTTTAGAAGACAGAAGTTAAAAGAAATAGCAAGATAGTGATTGAAATACTTTTATAAATTATATAAATTATAATACTAAAAGTAGTTTTCAAATAGGTAAATAGAAAAACCAAATTCGAGCTTAGCGAGAAAAAAAATGTTGGTGGGTGGCCTGGATAAATTTTAAACTCCCGGCCTGGATTTGGTTCCCACTCCGCCCCTGTCTACGGGTCATGCCTGTCATGCACAGACATGACCTGCGAAATTTGATCCAACTTAGGTACATTATAAATTGGGGTGCATAATATAAACTTTTTTTTCTAAGCTCTGATTTCGTATTAAGTTTTTTGATTTTCATCACGTAAAAATAAACGTTTGTAAAAAGTATTATTATTTATTGGTATTAAAATAGTTATATTTTAAAATTAAGTACTAAATACAATTTCATAATATAACCTACCTAGTTATTTATTCATCTGATAAAAGAAATATCGTTTTTTATTCCTAATAAAAAAAAATAAAACCTATTTAATTATTATCAGATGATAAATCTTATTTCAAAATTTGGGGGTCATATTCCCAAATCTTAATTTTTTTTGGGGGGGGGGGTGGGGGGGAATATGCCACTGTTGTGCACGACCTGCGGATGAGATCTGGACAGACACGCCTATGCCTACATCGAGCTCAGTACCTATGTCCTATAATACGGTCTATTGGTAAATCGTATGTTCATTTACAGAAATCTTTGTGATCTGTAATGTACTTATTCTAGTTTTCGATTTCTGTTATAGTACGCATGCCAAATTTAACTACACAGATTGCAGGTCCGCAAGTTTATGGACATTCTAATACATTCTCCCGCCAGTGCCCCTAGACACGGTGTTTGAGAAGTTATATTTTTTTGGTACCTAATTAAAATACAATATGAATTATTATAAGTTACCTATGTATCTACTTGTAAAAAAATTGACTACCGGGATTTAAATAACAAAATGTGATTTAGGTAACCTATTGGCTATTGATCTATTATAAAATAGAAACTTAACCTACCAATAATATCCCTATATAAAATAATTAAAAGTGATAATTTGAAGACGATTTCTTAAAACCCTAAAATATTTTTTTTTAATTTAGTGTCTAATCCATAAAGTTTAGCGCCCGCGCAAATTTTTAAATTTTTTTTTTCGGAAACCTATGATTTGCAACCAGTTATAACATTAATTATGTAAAAATTATTAACTTATAGCATATAAGTTTTAGAATTAATATTTACTTTTGAAATTATATATACTAATAAATTGCGCACGCCAACATTTTTAGAAAAATTAAATAGTAGGTATGTAGTCACATGTAAGCCATAGTTATGTTCGAATAAATGGAATGGACAGACAAAGAAATATTATTATGTCGATCTTCAATGACTAAGTAATGATTTTACAGCTGACAACGTCTTCTTAGGCTGGGGCTATACACGGCGATATTCGCGGCGAAATTTGTCGAGCGGATTTCGCGGCGGTTTTCGTTCTGTCTGGCTATACACAGCGAATTCGCGTGACGGATTCGCTCAATATTTTCGCCGCGATTTTCCAAATATTTATACCATAATTTTGACATAATTTAGTTTCGAAGTTATTAATATAATTCTATAATAAAAATTTTACACCCATCTGGTGGGGTTAGCTCAAGACGTCAAGAATATGTACATAGCATGTGCGAGCACTTACGGTACATGTTCATTATTCAGTCATAGTTATATCTACTTCGGTATAGAATTGGTACTTACCAGCTAAAATACTCATATATATATATATATATATATATATTAAAAACAGCCATTGTTACCGTTTTTTATCACCACGAAAAACATGTCAAGTGAATTAACAACTGAGGAGCTTGTGGCTATTGCTGACTATTTGCTGTAGCACTAGAAGAAGACGAGAACAAGATCCAGAAGAAAAGAAAATATTCTGTTCATCCATTAAATAAGGAAAGGAAGAGAAAAGGCCAATTTCATTTAATATATGATAGGTATATCCTGAAAAGTTTTTTTCTTTTTATCGGATGTCTATGCCGACATTTGATGAATTGTTGAGTATCGTCAGATCTGACTTATTAAAAATGGAGAATTTCAAAAATGACACAATAACACCAGAGGAACGCTTGACAATTACTATAAAGTATGTATATTTTTATAACTATTGGATCATTAAATATATTGAAAAATCAAAATAACTTTTACATCTTGTAATATTATAAAAAAACATAATAGGTATACCATAATATAGGTACCTATAGCAGGTATCTATACAAATTATTATAATATATCATTAGTGCTTTGATTGGCCATAGGATATTCTTGATTTCTTTCGAGTGTTTGCTGCGTGTAAGTGTAAGGCTGAAGAGGGATATTATATGGTTGAAATTGAGGCTGATGTGGTGTATAATGCTGAGGTGGTGGATAAGGCTGAGAAGTTTGGTTATCGTTTGTTGTATATTTTTGTAAGAGTTGCATGACATCTATTCGGAATTTAATATTATTTTGATCATCCATACTCTTCATCGCTGGTAACAAAAGAAAGCAAAAAATGTTTATTTCCATCAAAAACTTCTTCTTTGTTAGTTCTCTTTTCTATGGCGTTCAACACGTGTTCCTGAAACACAGATAGTTTTTTCTTCGACTGTTTAGGCACTGTATTGGGGACACTGGGGGACATTGCCTGGTCTGAAGCCGTCGGTGAATCGAGGTTATCTAGTATCTACAATATTGATTTCTTCAGCCGAAATTATATAGATACGGTATAAATGTACTTTGTTTCTCCTTGGTCAAGTAATATGATGATCAATTTTCACTATAAAAGAGTTCTTTTATTAATTATTAAGAAACAAATATAAATAATAATAAACATACTATTTATAAAAGAAAATCGATTTTTCATAACTAATAACTTTCTACTTTCGAATAATACAAAATATAATAATAATTAATAACAGTAAAAATACATGTAATAGGTATCTACTTAATAGTTAAGAGGACGCTACACCCGCATGTGTTGTCTCCGTCTTACACACGTACGACATAGACAAAACGGGTTTAGGCAGTCTGAGTATAACTCGCTCAATTTTGGTTCTAGAGTAAAATTACCTATTATGAAATTGAATTGTGATAATATTTCTAAGGGCAAGACGCTGCGGTTTTTTTAAAAAATTTAATTTTTTTAAAAGTCAAAGGTATTTTAAAAATGGTGAAATTTGTTCTATTTCTAAACGATATAATGAACGTTATATTGGGTATAATGGAAAAACCGCAGCGTCTTGCCCTTAGAAATATTATCACAATTCAATTTCATAATAGGCATTTTTACTCTAGAACCAAAATTGAGCGAGTTATACTCAGACTGCCTAAACGCGTTTTGTCTATGTCGTACGTGTGTAAGACGGAGACAACACATGCGGGTGTAGCGTCCTCTTAATAGATGGTACCTACCAGTGCCGCAATTAGGACGTTCAATGTATGGGGCCCTGATGTCTATGTATAATATAATATTTTTTATATTTTATGTACTTATACAAAAATAAATAATGATGGTGATTTTCTTTTTAAAAAAACAAAATTTTTACAATCACTTAAAACACCGAAAATCGTGAACTTCGTAAAGCTTTACCATAAAAACTAATAATTTCCGGCAGTTAATTTTTGCATCATAATTCATAGATATACATCTTAACTGGTCGCAACACACGGGTTACCGAAAAAAAAAAATTGAAAAATTTTCTTGAGCACTTAACTAGATTATAAATTTATAACATCAAATTAAAAAAATATTATAGAGGTTTTAAGAAATTGTCTTCAAATTATCACATTTAATTATTTTATATAGTGATATTATTGGTTGGTTCAATTTCAATTTTATAATAGATCAATAGCCAATAGGTTACCTAAATCACATTTTTTTTAAATTTAAATCCCGGTAGTCGAGTTTTTGGAAAGTACCACAAAGGAGACTTATAATAATTCACATTGTAATTTAATAGAATGTCTATACATTTGTGGACCAGTTTCGTATAGTTAAATTTGGCATGCGAACTATGAATAAAATAGAAAACCAGAATAAGTACATTGCTGATCACAAAAATTTCTGTAAAAGTACGTACGATTTACCAAAGACCGTTTAGGTACTTAGTATAGAATATAAGTTCTATGGATTTATCATAGTAAATAATATATTTTATCTATGGCTATCGTCAATTATTGTCGACATTCGTCGGCGACGATTAATGATTAACAATTCTAATAATTTCAGTGAACAAAAAAATAATAAGCGATCAATATATACGGACAGTTTGTTAGCACAAATTCACACATTTCGTTATGGTCAGATTAACTTCATTAAATATTTCGATACTTTCAAGTTTCAGTTTAGAGCAAGATGATGATGGATAAATATAGCCGTTTTTTCGGCGACGGCGGCAGTCTAGCTAAATTTCACCGGAAGAGTCGATGTATACGCGTAAGTTTGTTTTCATATTATTGCTATTTTAGTATTTTACATTTACTTTAAGACTTAAATTAAATATTTATTGCCCCGGACAATCTGTTAACTGGGTGACGTAGAAGCATTTATAAGTTTAATCCTAAAAGCGCCATGTATAAAATACGCGAGACCGAACAGTCCAAAGTCCGTCTTCGTTTCACTACTCCAAGTTTAATAAGTGCCTTTTTGCATAGGTATACTATAAGCCGGGTATCACCTTAGGTTTTGCGTGAAGTATTTAAAACAATATAATGTTATCAATCTTTATATTTTATATACATAAATACAGTCAAAACTCTTTATAACGAATCTGAAGGGACCAAGAGATTTCTTTCGTTATAGAGAGTTTTCGTAATAGAGAGGGTTTAAAAAAAACAAAATTTTAATTATTTATGTATAAAGGTATGTACCTATGTAATATTATATATCAAACACATCATTATTTTTACATTATTTTATATGCAAATGTATTATATTAAATTATTATTATTATTATACATACTTATTAAATATAATTTAATTTTTATACTATACATATTTATACTTTATTTAAAATAGTCTGTCATCATACGATAACACGTAAATTGTATTATGAAACATAAAATATTGTTTCGTTATTGAGGGTGACTAATACGTTATAGAGAATGAATTGTCTAATGGGTTATATAGCAAACCAACCATTATTATGTAATGTTTATGTTATATAGAGTTTTTCGTTGTAAAGAGTTTCGTTATAAAGAGTTTTCACTGTACATTATAAACCTCTTGTATTTTATTAGCATACTCACAATTTTTTTAGTGTAGTTTATACCCTATATGGCTAGATATTAAATGTTTTGCAATTATATATTTTACTATAATTATTATTTTCCATTATCATCTAATATAACAATACATTTTAAATTAAATTAGTTGTTATCAAGACAGACAGTCTTAAGACAAACTCTTTTCTGGATGTTATCAAAACGGATTATGCTTAAAAAATTGCACAGTTGTCGTAGCAGTCAGTTGCTAGATCAACCCTTGAGACATTAAATAATTTTTTCGAAAAATATAATATGTAATATGTATGGCTCATACAATTAAGAATTTATAGGTAGTTAATAGAAATGCGGATGTTTATACTTCATAGATATTTTTTTTATTGAAATCTTGTAAATAATTGAATTTAACAATCGGGTACAAATCACTAGTATCAATTTTATTATATTACGTGTAAAATCACCGGAACAAAGTGCAGACTGCATTTTAAAAATTAAAAAAATATAAAATAATGTTGTAGTAGAAGCTAGAAACTGTAGTTTATTCTAATTTATAATCCAATAATTAATGTAACCGGGAATGTAACTATTAAATTCATCATTGAATGATTATTCCGAGATCACTTTAAGATAAATGCCAAACATATAAATGTAAATCAAATTGAGAATATTTAAAAAACATTTTGTGAAAGGAACAAGATTACTGCTAATATTTAAGTCCTAATTATTATTAACAAATAAATACAAATAATAGATATTTTAATAGCTTTTTACCATCAACATTCAGTGTAAATAATTTCTGATTGACTTATATATATGTAAAAATCTTCTATAAAATAATTATTCGTATACAAAAATCCTAACAATTAAATGCAAGGATCTCATAAATTGATCTTACAACATCCTTTAAATATCAAAACTACATTTGTAAATCATTTATACACCTACTAAATAAAAACATTTAGTACAACATTTTAGTTCCCTGTTATGGTGTAGGTACTAATGCAAACAATAAATTATTATTCGAAAACACAATTTCGTATACCTATTATTATTTACTAAATACCTACAACTAAACTAAAAATAAATATATGATTACATTCTGAGTGCCTATAATATAATATTATATATGAAAATTGATTCCTTATTATGAATACTTATCGTTCACACAGACCACAAGAAAAAATCATTTTAAAAATTTAAAAATTGAAGAACACATCGTTGTAAAATTAATCCAGTCATCGATCCGCTCAGAATCTAAAATCTAAAATATATCCGATAAATTTAAAATTAACATATACCTATCATTATTATTATATAATTTCTTATTCAGCAGTATTCGGAGAAAATTATAGACTTGGAATTTTAGAATCTAGGTAGTTGGTATTAATGGTATTATAGTCGATACTGTAAATTTGATGAATTCACTGAGTATACCTTTATGTTACCTAAAATCAAATAATCACATTTTTATTTAATGATTCATAAAATACAATAAGCTTTTATAAAAATATACTTGTACTTCTGCAGATATCTATTCACCATCTTAATCAATAGTTAAATTAATAAACAAAAATAGTAATTTAAATAATACCCATATCAATATTATATTATTATAATTTAAATTCAAAATCATTAACTTATAACTATTTTGATTTTTGTCATATAAAATTTCAACAAACAAATATTGTTCCTTAACACGGAACTCATTGATATAAAAAGTTGCATTATATGATCCGTGGATTCATCATATTGACTTTACCTAGTATAATATAATATCTATCATTTATATTCTATGGCAAATCTCATAGTCGTTGCAGACGACACAGTCGATTAAAAATTCTAAAATTTCAATAAGCAAAGCAGATATGAGTAAAAAACTTACTGCGTCCCGTATAATTTTATTTTTCATAAATCACAATATTTTAAGTTCTGTATTCTCTGAAGCGTTTCGTCGTCGGCGTCACAGTTCTCACACTTTACGGATTAAGTCGAAAGAGTCGATAATTAAACTATTAAAGTAAATTTTTTTTCATATTCTTTTGGGGCTTAATTTTACTTTCATTTTTTCTAAATTATATGGTAAAAAATAAATCATATTTCGCTATAAAAAAATAATAAAACATAAAGTATTTTAAATTTGAGTAGAATAACTTTTTATGATCATAACCACATTGCCTACAGATTATTAAGCATTAGTACAGCAGTAGTTTATAGTCATTTTTGATCAAAAAAATTTAAAAGTGTCATCGTGTATTCGTGTATAT